TTCCCAGCGAGGGTAGAAATATTGGATGTGTTTCCTTACGCCTGTTATCTATGTTCACCCATCAGTAAAATGGGTCCCTGGGTGTTAGTTGACTGGTGTGGATCGCATCCTGGGACAAAACTGACCTAGTTTGCTGCTTTCTATATAGTAGTATGTCATTGATGTCAACTATGACCTGCACTTGTAGTAAATAAAGATATTATTATTATATTATTATTTATTCCGAAAGGTTTCGTCTACACAGTAGGATTCTTCAGTCTGCTCCATAGTCTAGAACAATGTGTTCCAGACTGTGAAGCAGAAGTCTTCTCCAGGCTGAGGGACTGACCACCTCAAAATTTCGATTTCGAGGGTGATGGACTATAAGCACAGAAATACGTATCTTAATCTTAAAATAATGATTCCTAACTAGTCATAAGTTTGCCTGTGATACTCCAATATAGAAACTATGTATTGTGCCAAAACAAAAGTATTCACATTGCTAAACTCACAAACTAGTATTTAGTCACTTAGTATTTAGTCAACATACTCCATAATTTGTAATAATTTAGGGTTAAGAATTAATCTAAGTTTGCCCGAAATGCCTAGCCATGCCAGGTGTTCTAGTGGCCCCCTCTGTAATTAGTATTTTATTACATGTAAACCACACAATAACCAAAATCTATAAACCCTGCATTGTAATCCTTATAGAGAATAAACTTGATTGATTTGATTTGATTTGATTACATCGTCTTCACTCCTCTACTGCTGTACTAGCTCATGTTATGGTGTGAAGTGTGGCAGTTGCAGTTCACTGTAGACAAATACAGTCCTGAAGCTCTGGGATGTAAATAACCATAGCACTTATAAACTAAATAGTATAGAACTTGCACATACAGAATGCGAAAAAGACTTAGGAATTATGGTAAGTAAGAACCTGAAGGCGACAGTAATGCCTAAGCGTACGTAATAGGGTAGAGAGATTGCAGAGGCCTGGTCACAGACCGGGAACGGGGGCGTTGACCCCCCGAAACCATCTCCAGATATACCCCAGGATTTATATCAAGAAGTATAAGTAACAGGAGTCCAGAGGTTATACTACAACTCTACACATCACTAATAAGGCCTCACTTATATTATGCAGCTCACTTCTGGTCTCCATATTACAGACAGGGTATAAATTACTTAAAAAATATTCGGATAAGAATGACAGAATTAATCCATTGCATAAGAAATCTTTCATGTGGAGAAAGATTAAAATCCCTTAACTTACATTTCCTTGAATGAGGAAAGACATTATTCAAGTGTATGAGTGGAAGATGGACAATAACAAAGACGTAAATAATTCCTGGGGAAATCCCTCCAAGAAAGAACTCGAAATAATGGATTTAATTTGGATAAATGTAGATTTAAAAAGAATATAGAAAAGCCATGAGATGGTTCAGACTGATGGAGCTCTTTTATTTTTTTCCACAGGCCATAAGAAGGAATACTGCGTCAGGCCTACTGGCCTATAATATAATAATAATTCATAATATCTTTATTTCTATAAGTACAAGGTTTACAGACCATAGCTGACATCAATGACATACTACTATATAGAAAGCCGCTTGTTGTGCTGAGCATTTCTCGCAAATTAGGTCAATTTTGTCCCAGGATGCGACCCACACCAGTTCACTAACACCCAGGTACCTACTTGCTGGGTGAGCAGAACAGCAGGTACAAGGAAACACGCCGTGTTCCCACCCTTGCCGGAAATCGAACCCGGAACCTCAGCGTGTGGAGCGAGAGTTTACCAGCCCGGCCACGGGGCCCCGTGGATTTAGACAATTTACAGTATTTAGACGATTTAGAGAAGCTAAGACGATTTAGTGCAGTTTAGACTATTTAGAGTAGCTCAGATTATTCAATGTTCTTTAGATATTATTGAGCAGTTTAGATGATCTAATTCAGATGATTCAAAGTCTTAATCACAGAACAGATTAGACGATTGAAAGAAATTTAGACAAGATAAATGAATTTAAACATGGAAACAGTCTAGAATATGTGGAGAAATGTGTTTACCTGTATTTTAATCACGCTTATCTATCTGATATGAGATAATAATCAGCCTACTGCAGGCCACTTGAAGCATGATTCTATCTATCATGAGAACAAATGAACACTCCTGAAATGTAGTGACCTATTTAATGGGGATTTTGAACCATGGGATCACTCCCATGGTTCTGTTATTTTGTATTGTTTTGTGTTTTATTTATGTCTGACAGGGCTCTTTCTTCATATATTAGGTAATGTTTGTCAGGACACAGGACAAGTGTTTCCTGAGGCGGGTCTTAGTCATATGATGACCTACAGCTGGAGCTTTTGGTCATCTGACCGAGGCCTTCCACTGGCTTACCCCTCCACGACTTATTATAATTTCAACCATTAGATCCTTAGATGTTGCTTTCTTAATAGTATTTTTAAGAAGTTTTTGTAAATATAATATTTTTAAGTAAGACCTTTGTAAATCTAATGTACTTATTTTTCACTGTTATTATTATTATTATTATTATTATTATTATTATTATTATTATTATTATTATTATTATTATTATTATTATTATTAATTATTATTATTATTATTGTTATTATTATTATTATTATTATTATTTATTATTATTATTATTATTATTATTTATTATTATTATATTATTATTATTATTATTTATTATTATTATTATATATTTTTATTATTATTATTATTAATTATTATTATTATTATATTATTATTATTATTATTATTATTATTATTATTATTATTATTATATTATTATTATTATTATTATTATATTATTATTATTAGATCTAGAGGTACTAGAAAAAAGTATTTATAATAGGAATTACGTGATCTATAGACAATAACAATATATACATATCTGTATGTGACTAGATAATGGTTTGAGTTATGCAAGATACATATGTAACAGTTAGGTGGTCAGTCCCTCAGTGAGGTGGTCAGTCCCTCAGTGAGGTGGTCAGTCCTCAGTGAGGTGGTCAGTCCCTCAGTGTAGGTGGTCAGTCCCTCAGTGAGGTGGTCAGTCTCTCAGTGAGGTGGTCAGTCCCTCAGTGAGGTGGTCAGTCTCTCAGTGAGGTGGTCAGTCTCTCAGTGAGGTGGTCAGTCCCTCAGTGAGGTGGTCAGTCTCTCAGTGAGGTGGTCAGTCCCTCAGTGAGGTGGTCAGTCCCTCAGTGAGGTGGTCAGTCCCTCAGTGAGGTGGTCAGTCTCTCAGTGAGGTGGTCAGTCCCTCAGTGAGGTGGTCAGTCCCTCAGTGAGGTGGTCAGTCCCTCAGTGAGGTGGTCAGTCCCTCAGTGAGGTGGTCAGTCCCTCAGTGAGGTGGTCAGTCCCTCAGTGAGGTGGTCAGTCCCTCAGTGAGGTGGTCAGTCCCTCAGTGAGGTGGTCAGTCTCTCAGTGAGGTGGTCAGTCCCTCAGTGAGGTGGTCAGTCCCTCAGTGAGGTGGTCAGTCCCTCAGTGAGGTGGTCAGTCCCTCAGTGAGGTGGTCAGTCCCTCAGTGAGGTGGTCAGTCCCTCAGTGAGGTGGTCAGTCCCTCAGTGAGGTGGTCAGTCCCTCAGTGAGGTGGTCAGTCCCTCAGTGAGGTGGTCAGTCCCTCAGTGAGGTGGTCAGTCCCTCAGTGAGGTGGTCAGTCCCTCAGTGAGGTGGTCAGTCTCTCAGTGAGGTGGTCAGTCCCTCAGTGAGGTGGTCAGTCCCTCAGTGAGGTGGTCAGTCTCTCAGTGAGGTGGTCAGTCCCTCAGTGAGGTGGTCAGTCCCTCAGTGAGGTGGTCAGTCCCTCAGTGAGGTGGTCAGTCTCTCAGTGAGGTGGTCAGTCCCTCAGTGAGGTGGTCAGTCCCTCAGTGAGGTGGTCAGTCTCTCAGTGAGGTGGTCAGTCCATCAGTGAGGTGGTCAGTCTCTCAGTGAGGTGGTCAGTCCCTCAGTGAGGTGGTCAGTCCCTCAGTGAGGTGGTCAGTCTCTCAGTGAGGTGGTCAGTCCCTCAGTGAGGTGGTCAGTCCCTCAGTGAGGTGGTCAGTCTCTCAGTGAGGTGGTCAGTCCCTCAGTGAGGTGGTCAGTCCCTCAGTGAGGTGGTCAGCCCCTCAGTGAGGTGGTCAGTCCCTCAGTGAGGTGGTCAGTCCCTCAGTGAGGTGGTCAGTCCCTCAGTGAGGTGGTCAGTCCCTCAGTGAGGTGGTCAGTCTCTCAGTGAGGTGGTCAGTCCCTCAGTGAGGTGGTCAGTCCCTCAGTGAGGTGGTCAGTCTCTCAGTGAGGTGGTCAGTCCCTCAGTGAGGTGGTCAGTCCCTCAGTGAGGTGGTCAGTCCTCAGTGAGGTGGTCAGTCTCTCAGTGAGGTGGTCAGTCCCTCAGTGAGGTGGTCAGTCCCTCAGTGAGGTGGTCAGTCCCCCAGTGAGGTGGTCAGTCCCTCAGTGAGGTGGTCAGTCCCTCAGTGAGGTGGTCAGTCTCTCAGTGAGAGACTGACCACCTCTAGAAGCCACTGTATTGCAGAAGTGTACATAAGAGTGGAGGAACACTGCAGCAGACCTACTGACCCATACAACGCAATACTTTGATGTAAAAATACAATAACGATGAATATTAATACCAACTGGGAAAAATATCTTACTGGAACATTTAAATTTGGCGGGCATTAGCTTCTACACAAACATGGCTGAAGGTGATGTTATTGACTGTATTTTTCCTATTATACCTCGATGTATTTAGTTACTCAATACTTTATTGCATTTTTACGAATTATAGGGAGCTTATAATTATTGCTTTATTTCTATTTGTTTATGAATATATGTGTACGACTTACAAAATCGATCATATGATTCTGAGGTGGGGTTTGTGTCCTGGTCTGTGGTTGGGTGAGACTAGCTAATGGCAGAGGAGGTTACAAATTGTCATTCATATGATGCTAAGCGTTACGTAAGAGCGGCTGCAATTGGTGAGCTGGGGAGAAATGTCAAGAAGTGTGCCAATCACGAGACTGAAGACAAGGTGACCATCACGGGACACAGCTGCTGCTGCACTTGCGCCAGAGACGTCGAGCAGAGAGGAAGTGTAACTCAGTATTCTAGCCTCCTTGTGCTATTATAACTCTACAAGATGTCTGACGGAGAGTCTCCCATGTATTCCCCATTCTTCGGCGTTATGGGCGCTACTTCTGCCATGGTGTTTAGCGGTGAGTTGATGAAAATGTGGTTTAGCAGAGAAATGGAGTCTGGCTATTGATTGTGGGCTAATGTGGTCCAGCATCTCTTTTAAAGTATCTTATTTCACAACTCTCAGAGATGCTCTAACAGTCGGTAGGTCTAAATTTCTCTAATAAAGCTACATTTCTCATCCATATCTGTAGGGACACGTGTTGATTTTAACCCTAAGTCCTAAGGTCCAGTCTGGTGGGTGTGGCGCTGTTAATAGGGACTGACCATTATTTTTATGATTTTCTTGGTAAAAGATGATTTTGGTAAATATTATTTACGTTGGTCGCTGTGAGACTGTTCTGTAGGGCTGTGGTGGCCTCTGAGGCTCTCGTCTTGTGGTCCAAAACCCTCCTTGACGCTGGTGAGGGGCTCTTGATCTAGGGAAGTGGATCTGTGCTACGGTTCTCTGAATTGAGCCTGAATACCTTCCATTTCCCCCCCGCACATGCGCTGTATAATCCTGCGTGTTTAGCGCTCTCCATGATTATTCTGTGGTCCAAATGATACCACCTCTAGCTCCTAAGGGTCTTAGGTTATAGGAATTAACTTCAAATGGCTTGTGTTTCCATTGGGGGTGCTTGTTTCCATTGAGGTTAAATCTCGGCACTGGTGGCAAAGTTTGGCATGCTTCTTCGCACATGTTACTTGTGTTCACCTAGCAGTAAATACCTGGGTGTTAATCATGTCCTGTGGAAAGAGGACCATGGGACTATAGTGGAAGTAAGATATGGTGGTTTTATTGGGTTATCCTGGGTTACTACTCTTGGAGTTATTAATCTTGATAATATACAACTTTTTGCATCTGTTCGTAATTTGTTTCTTTAAATATTAATTTTGCTGATAGGCAGGATAAAAATGGAGAGATCAGAATGTGTATTTTACTAATAGGCAGAATCAGAATGAGGTCTGGTCACAAGTGGCATTTCACAGGAGTCAGTTTTGCTTTTCATTTTGCTCATAATTGCTTTAATTACTTAGTTGTTAGGAAAAGAAAATACCTGCATGATTAAACTATGTAAAATTAGACCACAAGACAGTTCAACTGCTTCCCAGCATACGTAAGGGGGATTACCATAGGCCCCTGCCTGTCTTCAAGAAGGCACTGGATAGGCACTTTAAAGTTCGTACCTGACCACCCGGGCTGTGGCTCTTATGTTGGTATACATGCAGCCAGCAGTAACAGTCTGTTTGATGAGGCCTTGAGCCACCACAAGGCCTGGTCATGGACCAGGCCACGGGGGTGCTGACCACCTAAACTCTCTCCAGGTATACATTGGTTGTGAAAGAGGATTTTGTCCTGGTTACCATAAATCTGAAGCCAAGACTGAAGTACTAGACTACTATGATTAGTAAATTTTTATTTAGGTTTTATTACACATGATACGAAAAATTTTTTTTACAGTAGTCTTGAGGGGACAGGTGTTACGGGGGAAAGAAGCTATGTAGGTTTCACCCAAGACAAGATTTGTTTGGATTTTTAACCCAGAGGGTTAGCTACCCAGGATAACCCAAGAAAATCAGTGTGTAATTCAGGACTATTTTTTTTTTTTTTTTTTTTTTTTTTTTTTTTTTTTTATGTATCTTGTCCCCCAGGATGCAACCTACACCAGTAAACTAACACCCAGGTACCTATTTACTGCTAGGTGAACAGGGACAGCAGGAGTAAGGTGGGAATAGATATGTGCAAGGAGAACTGCTTAGCATAGTCTAGTAATGCTTTACTAAGCTGTCATGATAAGTAGGATGTATGCAGCTGTAACACTAGTCAGTTATTTATTTATTTATTAATTTGAACATGATACAGTGAAGTACAAAAGAATACAGTTAAATGCAGCATGCCAAAGCCACTTGAATGCATAGCATTATGGGCAGGCTAAAAATTAACTTAAGATTAACTAAGCAATTAAGTATTCAGTGGTAAAACATTATTGTGAACAAATAACAAGCACAAATGAGTATTACAAAAACAATAATGATACAATAATGAGATACAATTTATGAGATACAATTATTCAGTATTTATTTAGTTGTGGGTGAGTAAGTGATTTTTGAGAAGACTTGAATTTATAAATAGACAGTTAAAGCATTACTCGAGATATATCCTCATTACTGTACTTGTTAGGTTAAATCTTGATGAATGCTAGTAATCTTGCCTGTGTTCCCAAACCACTAATTTATCAGAAGGCTCATACTATAACCTAGCCTAAAAGACATCAAAATTGTTGGGTAACTCGTGATTATATTTTAACACGTCATGTAACTTGCCACCTGATGTTGAGAGGCTTAAAAACTGATTTTGCTGGTTACCATCTTTACACACACCCATATGCACAGTAGCTGGTTCTACTGCCACAACTGTGGGTGATTAATGACACTTTTATTCATTTGTAGTATAAGAACCACATTTAACCCTTTGACTGTCGCAGGCCCTTTCTGAAACTCATTGTGTCGATAAATTTTTGAAAAAAAAAAAAAATTATTTTTTCTTATGAAATGATAGAGAATCTTTTCCCAATGGTAATGACACCAAAAGTATGAAATTTGGTCAAACTCACGGAATTACGCTCCCGTGAAGTTAGCGGTCTCGGCGACATATACGTATCGGCGATTTCGCCGACTTTGAGCCCTGTTTATGGCCAATTCTGTTCCAGTCAACCAAACTCATAGCTATTTCTTTAGATCTTCATTTTATCTATCAGTTGAGTACAAGAAACTGCCCATTTACCGATTTGAACTACCCAATAAAGTGGTCAGAAATTGGCAATTTGGCCAATTTCACACAAATTAAAAAAAGATGCCAATTTCAAAATAGGGTCCAGAATAAACAATGTAGACGTTCTTGGCACTAAAATAACATATCCTCTGTTCATTAGTTATGTCTCTAGGCCTCTCTTATGTCACTATTGCTTTCTATTTTGATTTTTTATTCATACAAAAAAAAATAAAAAATTTACTGGTATGCAGACTACTGCATTATTGTAAAAATGGTATAAATAATATCAGTGCACTAGTGAAAGAATATTAGACTCCCCAGTTGACGTGTATTGGACTTGTGGTGTGATTTGTTTACTCCTGAACATTGGTAAAAATCTAAAATTTCCGCTACTGTGAGCTCAATTTCAAGGTCGTTTTCATCGTGAAAGTAATCAAAATCATCTCTATTTCTGTAATATGTTTTTCATTTTATCACTTGAGACCATGAAAACGAGAATACAACAATAAATACTATACGAAAATACACCTCAAAGTCGGCGTTTTAATCCAAAAAAAACGGTCATTTTTTTTTTCTCATTACACAGTGTGCTGCAGGATTTTTTTTTGTGGTGCACACTGACCACACAGACCCATTCTCTCACATGTGGGCCTACCAGCTTTCTCCCACTAGATTTGAAGCCGCTAGAATTTACGCATATTAATACGTCAGAAACAGTAGCGCGTAAGACGTATATATACGGCGTAAACAGTCAAAGGGTTAATATGGCATTGACTAGATACACATAGCAAAAGGCTTACCAGACCTTTAACTTTCTTGCTAGTCAGACTTTACCTTTTTTTTTTTCTCTCTCTCTCTCGTGTCCGGGTCACTTGTAGCTCAATGATAGCTTTCATATCACCTCAATGAGGAGTCCAAACTTTATTCCCTGATTGGGCGAGATGTATTTGCTGCCTTGAATGTTAGTAGATTTTTGAACATTATCCTAGAGAAGGATCCTAGTAGTAATTTTTTGGGGGGTTATCCTGGGTTTATATCCTAAAAACATGTCATTGGATATACAGTGGAACCTCGATTTTCGTGATTAATTCGTTTTACATACAGAAAACAATGAGAAATAAATATAAATGACTAATGAAATGAACATTTAACATCACTTTTACCTTTATTGAAGACTCTCGTTGGCGTATTGAAGACGGAGGGGAGAGGGAGGAATCCCCTTCCATAAGGACTTCAAGTATCATGACCCTATCTGGGGTTACTTCCCTTTGTCTTTTACTGGCACTAGGACCAGCTTGAGTCACTGTAACCCTGTTGCACAAAAAAAATGTCCAGAGAGGTCTGTTTCTGGCATCTTTTTAAGACTTGTCTAAAATGGGACAAGGCATTGTCATTGAGCATGTTGCAGACACAGCTTGCAACAGCTTTGTTAGGGTGATATTTCTCCACAATACTTTGCAACTCGCTCCACTTTGCACACATCCTTAATCACTGAAGAAGGCATATTCTCCCATCTCTTCCTCCTCCTCCTCTGAAGCAATTTCCTCAGCTGCAATCTGTTGCAGCGCTTCAGTGGTTAGTTCTTCCCTGTGGTCGTCCACCAACTCTTCCACATCCTGGCCTCTCTCATCCAACCCCATGGCCTTCCCCAAAGACACAATAGATTCCACAACAGGCATAGGGTTGTCAGGGTCAGTCTCAAACTCTTCAAAATCCTTCTCTTGTACACATTCTGGCCACAATTTTCTCCAAGCAGAGTGCATCGTCCTGGAACTCACTTCCTGCCAAGCCTCATCTATAAGGCTTATGCAATTGAGGATATTGAAGTGATTCCTCCAGAACTCGTCTTAGGGTTAATTCAGTGTCTGAGGTCACTTCAAAGCACCTTGGAACATTGCTTTGGTGTAGAGTTTCTTGAAGTTTGAAATGACCTGTTGGTCCTTGGGCTGGATGAGAGGGGTGGTATTAGGGGGCAAGAACTTCACTGTGATGCAACTAGACTCCTCCAACAATTGGTCCTCCAAGTCTGGAGGATGAGCAGGATCATTGTCCATTACCAGGAGGCACTTGAGTGGCAATTTATTTTCCAGGAGGTATTTATTCACACTTGGGCCAAACACTTCATTGACCCACTCGATGAAAATTTGCCTCGTGACCCATGCCTTATTTTTAGCCTTCCTCATCACACACAATTTACTCTTGATATTGTTTTTCTTGAACACTTGGATTTTCAGAGTGGTACACCAGCAAAGGCTTCACTTTGAAATCCCCACTAGCATTACCACACAACAAGAGTTAGCCTGTCCTTCATAGGCTTGTGTCCTGGTAATGCCTTTTCCTCCTGCATGATGTAGGCCCTCTGGCATTTTCTTCCAAAAGAGGCCTGTTTTGTCACAATTGAAGACTTGTTGGGGGAGGAATCCTTCAGCCTCTAAGTACTCCTTGAATTCATCAATGAATTCTTCGGCATCACGTTGGTCCGAAATTGCAGCCTCGCCATGCCTTTACACACTGTGTATGCCAGATCGCTTCTTGAATTTGTCAAACCAGCTTCTGCTGGCCCTAAATTCACTAACAGCAGAACTCATTCCAGGCATTTTCTTTACAAGATCCGTGTGCAACTGACTTGCCTTTTCGCAAATTATAGACTTCAAAACACTATCTCCCGCTAACTGTTTTTCATTGATCCACACCAACTACTGCTACTAAACATCTTCAATTGTTTGCAATCTGTTTCATTAGCACATTTACCCCTTTAGCAACATCAGCTTCCTTGTTTCTTTTTTCTTCGCCGGGATGGAACTAATCGTTGATGTGGATTTCCCATACATCCTTGTGAGATCGGCTACCTATACACCACTTTCGTACTTAGCTACGACTTCATTTTTGAATTCTATCGTGTTTCTCACCCTCTTTATCAAAGTGCTGGCACTTGGAACTTTCTTTGGCCCCATGGTGACTTATTTAGCAGTTGTACTCAATAAACAAGTACAAAAAACAATAGATTATTGTGAAATGTTTTGGCTGAACACGCGGGGTGATGCTCACTCCACGATAAACAAAGGCAGACTGAGTCACTCGGCACCTGAGTGGCCGAGTGACGCGGGCAGGCGGATGCGCTCGGTACGGGCCAGTGTCAACTCTATGAAAACCGAGGTGACATGAAAACTGGGACAAAATTTAGACTGAAAAAATCATCAAAAACCACATTCTACGAAAACTGGGGCATACGAAAACAGAGGTTCCACTGTATTCACACTTGCAAAAAAAAAAATTAGTCAAAAATATGTATGGTAATTCTTTAGTGTTGTAGGTAGTAGGTTGGTAGACAACAACCACTCTGGGTGGTACTACTGTCCTGCCAAGTGAGTGTAAAATGGAAACCTATAATTGTTTTACATGATGGTAGGATTGCTGGTGTCTTTTCTCTCATAAACATGCAAGATTTCAGGATGTCTTGCTACTTCTGCTTACACTTAGGTTATAATACACATGCATGTACAAGCATATATATACACACCCCTCTTGGTTTTCTTCTATTTTCTTACTATTTCTTGTTCTTGTTTATTTCCTCTCATCTCCACGGGGAAGTGGGACAGAATTCTTCCTCCGTAAGCCATGCATGTCCTAAGAGGCGACTAAAATACTGGGAGCAAGGGGCTAGTAACCCCTTCTCCTGTATACATTACTAATTTCAAAAAGAGAAACTTTTGTTTTTCTTCTTAGGTCACCCTGCCTCGGTGGGATATGGCCGGTTTGTTAAAAAAAAAAAATCTTTGGTGTCTGATAACGATGATCATGTGCTGGTGGACACGAGTGGTGAGGAAAGGAAGTTGGGAATTCAGTATGTAGATGACATCATTAATCAGTTATTTGTGGTTCTCATTTTGGCTGTCCTAATTTAACAAATTGCATTGGTCATTGTCATGCTGAAAGGCCCCTCTCAACATTGCCTTTCCTTTATTTCTGATTTATAAGTCTTAATGACCTTGCCTTTTGTATATTTTCATCACACTGATATTTTTAAGCAATCTGCTTCATAGTTTTCCTGCCACCAACATAGCTGTTTACTTCCTTCTTCAGTAGCATGGGTTGAAACTGGCCATTTCCATCTGACATACCATACTAGAATACAAAAGCGTTGGTCTTGCCAACACTAAGTATTCTTGTTATGTAGGAGCTGTAAAACACTCTGGGTTTGATGCTGTTCCATGGTTAATGTCAGTTGTATTAGGGACCATAACCATCCCTTAAGTTGGTCATTTTCCAAAATTTATTCCTTATAGCCTTCACAGTCTTGGTCATTCAGTCCTTATGCACAGCCCTAACATTAAATTTGTTTCTGTACTGTGTCGTTGAATTATTTCATGATCTTTGTTGGTCCGGCAAAATCAATGTAGTACTACCAGGAAAGCCTAGGAACCAAGGGTGCCGGAAAATTGGTGGTGTACCTGTATGTATTTGTAACAAATATACTGTGCAAGTTGTTTTTTATACAGTAGTATTATATGGCATGCTTATATTAACTAATGATTTTACTGTATTCAACAGCCCTGGGTGCTGCATATGGCACCGCCAAGTCTGGAGTGGGCATATCAGCCATGTCGGTAATGCGACCAGAGCTGATCATGAAGTGCATCATTCCTGTGGTCATGGCTGGTATCATTGCTATCTATGGCCTTGTAGTGGCTGTACTAATTGCTGGTAAACTAAACTCAGCAGAAAGTTACTCCCTTTATCAGTGAGTTCTTGATACAGTATTTAGCTTGTGTATCTATGTATAACAACTGTGATAGATGAAATGTATGCTATAAATTTTATTAAATTTTGGAAAAAAAGCAGCTTAGGTAGGTTACTGTTGAACTAACGAATTAAAAATAGTTTTTCAACACATCAGCCGTATCCCACTGAGGCAGGGTGACCTAAAATGAAAAACCACAAGTTTTTTCTTTTTAAATATAGTAATTTATACAGGAAAGGGGGTTACTAGCCCCTTGTTCCCGACATTTTAGTCGCCTCTTTACAACACACCCATGGCTTACAGAGGAACATTTATTTTGCACTTCCCCATGCAGTATTTTATCATGAGTATTTAAAGTGTAAGCCTCTAAAGAGGTTTTTGAAGGATAAGTTAGGGAAGAACTGAATTTATTACTTTGAAGTGTTAAGTGGTATATCCACTTGTGTGAAATGTTAACTCTGTGTAGATAAGCAGGTTGTCAGGAGAGAGAGAGATGCATATGTAGTATTCAAGTAGCTGGGTACCTGCCAGTTATAAAATTGTCCTTAGGAAAGTGTGCATTAGAGAGGAATAGCTGATGCATTAGAAGAAAATGGCAATTCAGCTTGAAAATAAATAAGATAGTAATTGAGCAAGAAAAGAAAAGAGTAAATAGTGTATGAATAACTTACGTTAGTAGAGCATGAGTATTTTACTGTTATATTAATGGGAATGACTAAGATTTGGGACAGTAATAGGTAAAAGTTGCTAACTAGATGGGATTAATTGAAGTTCCCTTCTAGGGAGATGCCTAGGATCAAATCTCTCCCATTCTTCACTGCCCAGGCATCTATGACTATGCATTTAACACTTCTTAAATATAATCATAATTGAAATACTGTTGTATAATGTGACGTGTTTGTATCCTTTTTGCCAGTACACTAGATTTTATGGAATTTTCTCTTTACGTACCGTTATAAATGTATAAATGTTTTCTACATCTTTATATTAAGGAAGATTTACATCTTCCTTAACCCTTAAACGGTCCAAACAGATCGACGTACAAATTCGTAGTGCTCCAAAAGTAGATCTACTTTTTTTACATATTTTCAAATATAACAAACAAAAAATGTAGTTAAAAGTTTTTTTTACACGTTTTCAAATGTAAAACAAAAAAGATCTACATTTTTTTACATTCAGATGTTGAAAAAACGTATATATACGTTTGGACCATTTAAGGGTTAATATTGAGTTATACTGTTTTCTTAAAAAAAAAAAAAAAAAAAAAAAAAAATTCTGTGCAGCAGAAGTGTGTAGATATAGGAAGGTGGCTGCAGGAGAGAAGAGGAGAAACTGGTGGAATGATGAGGTAAAGAGTGGTAAGGGAGAAAAGGTTAGCATATGCAAGGCTTTTACAAAGCAGAAATGATATAAGGAGGGTGGAGCATAAGGAGAGCAAGAGAATGGTTAAGAATGTGTGGAAAGAGAAAATGAATGGGGGAGGTTTTGTTAACTATTTTTGCTGAAAAGAGTATTAGAATGAGATTAATAAATTGAGAAAGCCTAGGGAACAAATAGATTTAACATTTTAAAACCCATGAAGGGAGTTATTAGAGAGGTGGAAGAATTGTGAAGATGGAGGGAATATTTTGAGGAGCTCCTAAGTGTAGGGAGGCAGTGATTTCATGTATTGGTCAAGGAGGCATAACATCTTTTAGGAGTAAGGAAGAGCCAGATGTGAGTGATGGGAAGGTGCCTTGAGGCAGTGGATACAATAAAAGAGGGTAAAGCAACTAGGTTTGATGGGATAAAGACAAATGTTAAAAGCAGGTGGGGATATAGTTTGGAGCAATTGGTGCATTTGGTCAGTATATACATGTATATGAAAAGGGAAGGTACCTAGGAATTGGCAGAGCATGTATGATTAATTTTTATAAAGAAAGAGTACAGGGGTACTCTGAGTTTCAAACTTAATCCATTCCAGGAGTAGTTTAAAGTTAAAAAAACAAAAGAATTTTTCCCCATTAAGAAATAATGCAAACCCAAATTTAATCCATTCCAGCCCAAAATTTTTTTTTTTTAACACATTGGCCCAAAATTCCCCCCCAAGGCAGGTTGGCCTGAAAAAGAAAAACTTTCATCTTTATTCACCCCATCACGTCTTGTCAGGGGGGGCTTTACCAAAAGTTTTTAAAACCAACTTAAACCCCTTCCTTCGAGTGCCAAACTGTACTAACCCTCTCCAGGACTCGAGTCCGGCTGCGGGTTTTCCCCGAATCCCCTTCATGAATGTTACTTTGTTACTCTAACAGCACGTAAGTATTAAAAACCATTTGTCTCCATTCATACATCAAATATCCGCATTTTGCTGAAAGTCCAACCCCTCGCACAAAAAAACCTTTTTCCCCCTTCCCTCCAACCTTTCTTGGGTTATAAGGTTTTTCTTTTTTTTTTTTTAGTAAATTTTTTGCGGGAGAAGGGGGTTACAGCCCATTGCTCCTGGCATTTTATCGCCTCATACGACTGCATGGCTTACAGAGGAAATTTTCTTTTCTATTTTCCCCGGACAAGAGAGGAAATAAAGAAGAGCTATTTAAAAAAAAGAAGAAAATTAATGTTGTTGTATATAGGTTATGCATGTGCTGCCTGTTGTGGTCCAAGTATAAAGTAGCAAGATACATTTAAACCCTGTTACCCCGTGTTTGAGACAACAAGACACCAGCAGTTTTCAAAAAAAATTTTAAATTTTTTTAAGAATATTTTTTTTTACATACACGAAAAATAAATACCCACAGGGGAAACCCAAAAATTTAAAAACTTAACCCCATTAGAGCTAGTTTAAATTTTCGAAAGTGAAGCAAATTTCCATAAGAAAAATTTGGAAAATAGTTATTCTTTTCCCAAAAACCCCAAAAATTTATTCGCCAAAAAAATAATTTTATTGAGATTAAATTTATATTTTACAAAAAACAAATAGTGTACAATTATGTATTAAAAAATTTAAATAAACGATAAAAAAACATTTTTCTTTCCTTTATTGAAGATTGGTGATCATCTGGAAAATAAGGAGGAGGGAGAGGGGTTGGGTTAGTGTTTGGGAAGGGGAACCCCCCCCTAAGGACTTCAGGTACAAAGCCCTTCTAGGGTTATTCTCTTACCTTTTAATGCCATACCCAGCTTTTAGTATGGACCGTCTTGTAAGTCCAGAGTTCCCCTGTTCTGGCTCTCCTAAGATTTCCCTAAAAGGGACAGGTTTTGTCACTGAATTGTTGCAAAGGGCTTTTTCAGCTTGCTCAGGGTGGTACTTTCCACAAAAATTTGGGGGTCATTTTCCCCTTGGCACAAATCTCCTTAATCTTTGAAAAGGCACCCTCTCCACTCTCTCTTCCCCCCTCCCTTGAAGCAAGTTTGAGCTGTGGGCTGATACTGTTCCCGATGAAGCTCTTCCACTTAAAACTTCCGTATTATTCTTCAAATTTGGTGTTTCTCACTTTTTTTTACCACTGGGGTACCACTAGCAAGTTTCTTTGGGCCCATGGTAGCTTATTTCACAGTCCCACAAGCACTAAACACAATGAATTAATCGTAAAATGTTTGAATGAGGCCGCAGGTTAGTGTTCACTCCAGCATCAACAAAGCCAGACTGGCTTACGGCGCCTGCGTGGGGACACGGGCTGGCGGACAGGTCCAGTACCCAGCCGTTTGAAAATAGGGGCGAGTTCGATAATAGGGACAAAGTTGGTTAAAAAAAAAAAGCGGTCGATTTTCGAAGAGTTCGACAAGCGATACATTTGAAATTTGAGGTTCCACTGTAGTATTTAAATGAGTAACAAAATAGATAAAATTTAAAATCACATTTATGTACCTTTATTGAAGACTTGTTGGCATATGGAAGATAGGAGGAGAGGGGGAGGACTTATTATTGCCTCAACCAATGCGGCACACTGCCTTGTGTTTTTGTATAATTTCTTTCTTCACTTCTATTGTTTCTCGTGTTCTTTACCAAAGGGGTGCCACTAGGAAGTTTCTTTGGGCCCATGGTGGCTTATTGTGCAGTCACAATCAATAAACAAGCACTAAACACAATGAATATACAGTATTGTGAAATGTTTGGATGAGCACGCAGGATAATGTTCACTCAAGGATAAACAAAGCTAGACTGGCTCACAATGCCTGCGCGGGCAGGCGGACGGGTCTGGTATGTGGTTCATAACACGGGGCACGTTCGATACTTGAGACAAAATTGGTGCGAAAAGGTGGTCGAAACTCGAAGCGTTTGATGCTTTCGAAACTCGGGGTTCCACTGTATAATAGTCTAAGAATTACAGGGGAATAAACTTGAGTATACCTGTTAAGTTGTGTGGTAGTTATTATTGAAAGAATTAAGGGTAAGAGTAGGATTGCAGGATCCTGAGGGAGGTTGGAGGAATGGGGTAAAGGTGGTTTTGAGTGCTAGGATGTCCAACAGGCTTGTGTGTACATGTTCGATAGGAGCATGTTGAGGCCAGGAGCTTTTATGATTTAGTGTGCTGTTGGAGTGTGAGCAAGTTAACATTTATGAAAGAATTAAGGGAAACTGGTCAGCTGGGCTCAAGTCCAGGAAGTGGGAAGTAGTGCCTGCATGCTGCAGGAGGGGTGGGGAAGTTGTGGTGGGAGATGGCCAGTGTTAAAAAAAAAAAAAAGCTATTTTTGTTCTCGGTAATAAAATTATCAAATCTGATGACCTTTGGCAAGTATTAGTAAGGAACAGCCAATAAACTGTCACATACATGTACCACTATGCACCTCATTGAATTCACTTGTACAGAGCAGGGTCAGTGTGACCTTATTATACACCCCTTTTTTTTTCTCAGTGAACAAAAAAACTTATCAGTTTAAAAAATGCACATTACTGTATTTATTAAAAAAAAAAATCATACCATATATGCAGTTATCTGGTCAGTAATAGAAAAAATTAAATCTTTTGCTACCTCATTATGCTATCACCAGTTATCTGAAAGCAAAATATATGGAGCTTTTCAATACTCCCCTCCATTATGTCATTCATTTTTATTTCTCTAATTAGCAAATACATAGATTATTTGTCCTACCTCTTTTAACTCTTGCATCATTGCTAATTGAATTGCATTTCGAATAATAAGAAAGGCAACATGGAGTTCTTAAAGGGAACAAAGAAGTGTAGAATTCGAGACTGTTTAAAGTTTTGTAAAATGAACATTCATGTCCTTCAGTTGAATTTTTTTCCTTGCAGAGGCTTTGTGCACATGGGAGCTGGTTTATCTGTGGGCCTCTCTGGCTTAGCTGCAGGTTTTGCCATTGGAATTGTTGGAGATGCTGGTGTGAGGGGAACTGCACAACAACCTCGTCTATTTGTCGGCATGATCCTTATTCTTATTTTTGCTGAGGTAAGTTTTTTGGTTCCTCATTAGCCATTTTCTGTGTGTTCTAAAGGGAAACAGTCAATAATTGGCCACTAATAGCAAAAGCTTGAAATATAATTCACATATCTTTAAAGTCTTCTTTCTTTCATTGTACCAGCCATATCCCACTGAGGTGGGGTGGCCCAAAAGGAAAGACGAAAGTTTTGTCTTTTAAATTTAGTAATGTATACAGAAGGGGTTACTAGCCCCTTGCATTTTAGTTGCCTCTTACGACACGCATGGCTTATGGAGGAAGAATTCTGTTCCACTTCCCCATGGAGATAAGAGGAAATAAAGAAGAACTAGAAAGAAAATAGAAGAAAACCCAGAGGGGTATGTATATATATGCTTGTACATGTATGTGCAGTGTGACCTAAGTGTAAGTAGAAGTAGCAAGACGTACCTGAAATCTTGCATGTTTATGAAACAGAAAAAAAGGACACCAGCAATCCTACCATCATGTAAAACAATTACAGGCTTTCGTTTTACACTCACTTGGCAGGACGGTAGTACCTCCCTGGGCAGTTGCTGTCTACCAACCTACTACCTATGATCTTTAAAGTGTGTGAATAATATTTAGCTGGTTTAAACTTTTCGGCCAAGAAGTCTAGTAACAAATCGGATGGTGTGCAGTAAGCTTGACTCATGGGGCTTAGACTACTGGCATTTTTTTTTTCTCTCTCCAGAAAATAAGCTTTTCTGCTTGGACCAGAATGTGCTAAATAATAGGTTGGGAGTAATGTGATATTGTTAACAAGTACTCTTCTTCAGGTACTTGGTCTGTATGGTCTGATTGTTGCCATTTACCTGTACACCAAGACCTCTTCATAAGCAAGCAAGCAAGCAAGAGATTGTCAAATGTGGAGCCCTCACCAGCATCCCAGATATTAGTCCTCCAGTAATCCAACCTTCAGTGCAAGACTACACCATATATATCAAGGGCCCACTTTTAGTCTGTTGGATATTTTTATTGAGAAATCAAAGTATTTTAAGTTAATTACACATATCCTGTGATAAAATATTACTTTAGATTTCATATTGGATTTCAGTTTTGTGCATGATGGAAAATTAAAAGAACAATTGAGGCATTTTATTAAGAAAGGATGCTTTTAAAAGATATAAGGGTGTGTGTAAAAATTTGTGTATAGCAGTCCTGTGACAATTTTTGTATTAATGTAACTCGTGTGTCCTTGTCTTTACTCTTCCAGACAGCTTCATACCATTAGTGTTCTACATAAATCTCTTCCCATGAGTCATTAGTAGATCAGGTACATAAGAGTGGTATTTATTTTCTGGTTTTGGACAAAACTCCTTTAAAAGGCAACCTTTATTGCTAATGTATGGATCTGATGAAAGTTATCTTAGGTTGGTCTCAAGTGGTGTGGCGAGTGCTAGGGGAGGGAGTGGTGGCGGCCATTGCAGGGCGAGTTAAACGTTTGATATCTTTGGGTAGGCAAAGGTTGTACTCCAGTATTAAGACATACTGTTTTGAGATTGATTTATGGTTACTTCTAAAACTATTATAATAAATTACTGTACTTAAAGGAATAATTTAATATACAGGAGGGCCCCGCTTTACGGCGTTCCGCTTTACGGCGTTCCGCTAATACGGACATTTCAAATTATGACCAAAACTCACTATACGGCTCCCCCCACCTGACTTTCTAATACGGTCACCGTGCCCCACCCTGTTTGTTTACATTCTCCATGAGCTCAGTAAGCACTAAGTCTCTCCATTTTGTCTGGAAACTCCAAAATTTCAAATGTTTTTAAAAGTTATTTCATATTTTATATATACTCTGATAATTATACTTATGTATACCTGTACCTAAATAAACTTACACACATCAAGTCATTTAAAATGTCGTATATTACGTTAATATACACTTTTCATTAATCCATCCATGATATTTTTTTCAAAATTAATAATAAACACGATGCATAACATATAAATAAGATAAATACACCCACAGTAGAATAAATAAACATAAATGTGAGCTGTGTAGCAGACGACTTGCACAAGTGGTGATAATAACAATACTGAGTCTCATTAAATGTCGTATATTACGGTAATATACACATTTTCATTAATCCAGCCATGATATTTTTTTCAAAATTATATAATAAACATATACATAACATATAAATAAGATAAATACACCCCACAGTAGAATAAATAAACATAAATGTGATCTCTGGTAGCAGACGACTTCCACAAGTGACGCCATAATAACAATAGTCACGGAGTCTCATTAAATGTCGTATATTACGGTAATATACACATTTTCATTAATCCATCCATGATATTTTTTTCAAAATTATATAATAAACACTATACATAACATATAAATAAGATAAATACACCCCACAGTAGAATAAATAAACATAAATGTGATCTCTGGTAGCAGACGACTTCCACAAGTGACGCCATAATAACAATAGTCACGGAGTCTCATTAAATGTCGTATATTACGGTAATATACACATTTTCATTAATCCATCCATGATATTTTTTTCAAAATTATATAATAAACACGATGCATAACATATAAATAAGATAAATACACCCCACAGTAGAATAAATAAACATAAATGTGATCTGTGGTAGCAGAGACTTCCACAAGTGGTAATAATAACAATAGTCACGGAGTCTCATTGTTTTGTTTACTCTGTGCCTGGCCTGTCACCTCTCATGTATTCATTCTTTCTCTCTCTCATTTATTCGTTTTATCTCATTTACTTACTCCTGACCCTACATTAAGACTACAAATATTTTAAGGTAAGTAATGAGTGAACTGTATATACATTTTATCGCTCTGGGATGCTTAAATATCATAGAATAGTATGTGTGGGTGGGGTGGCCTGGTGAAATAGCCTGCCTATTACAATACATACCACACTTGATTTCTTACAATAAATACTACTTGTCTCACCCTAGATTAAGACTATAAATATTTTAAGGTAAGTAATGAGTGCACTATGTGTGTATTGTACCTTTTTATTGTTTTTTGATGCCTGGTTCTATTGCTAACTTAATATATGTTAGTGTAAACTTGTTATCTAGTGTTTGTATGCATTTATAAGTGGAAAAAAAGGGTGTTCCACTTTACGGCGATTTCCGCTTTACGGCGGTAGCCTGGAACCTAACCCGCCGTATAAGTGGGGCCCTACTGTACCTGTAATGAAGTTACAAAAGGGTTATAAAGTGACTTGCTCACCCCTGGATAGCCACCCATTATTTAAGCTTAACATGGATGAGATGGTAGCACTGATGAGGGTATCATTCTTTCACCCTTTTTCATGTTTCCCAGTCATAGTCGCAAGGCACTGAGGCAAGATGGACGTACTCTGAGGGCACAATTTTTGTGGCTCAATTCTTTGCAGGTAATATTGTTAGTCTGCACTAGTGATTGGCTAGTGAGTGACTGGGAACAGTGCTGTCTGTGAGTAGTAGCCATCATCAACCTGTCGCCTGGCAGCCATTTGCAGTTGGAGCACAAGTGTTCCTCACTTCCCAGACTTGGGGATGAGGCTACTTAGTTTAGAATTTGTTGTACAGAGTATTTATAGTTTGTTAGTGTTGTGTTTGCTATGGGTTTTAAGTTATAGAAAACAGGGAAAGCTAAATAACACACTATTAATAGTCAACATAGCCTTTATTCTTAGATGTAGAACAAAAATTTTTTATATTGGGAAATGAGATACCCTATGGCAAGACACTGACTGATGTATTGAAATCAACATTCCAAATAAGGATGAGTTGCTAGTATTTTGTGCTTTCCATCTTAAAATATTTCTGGATAGCTCTGGTTGTCATTGTTAAAAGGTGTATGCATTGTATAAATGGAATTAAATATGTAATGGTATATTGTTAATAAATAAAACTTAGTTTTAATGTTCTCATTGTCATTACTCATGTACAAAAAGGACAGGAGCTCTGAATGATCATTATGGATTTTATATTTTGTTGCAGGAGGTTCTCATGCATCATAGAACAGCTTGTCTAGACTATACCATGAGGGTCAGGTTGCAGATTTTCCATAGGTGACTTCTTCAAGGAGGGACTCCTTGATGTGGCAAAGAGGCTCTTGGTCTCAAGAATCAAATTCTTTGGTCTCCTTCCTTAGTCTAAATACCCCCCAATCCTCCCTTCCCTATCCTATCCCATTATCCCCCTCCCCCCCTTCTTGGGGGTGGTGTGGTTTGCTGTAGAATCTGAAATATCTGAAAGTGCCCTGCTCCCTTCCCTGGATTCCAGGGAAGTGGGCAGGGTGCCCTTTGGGTAATGGGTGTATCTCCGGAAGCTGCCTGTCGGTTCTGGGTGGCAGCAGCCGAAGGGGGTATGCTTTGTGGTTGGTTTCCGACCGCCCCTTCTTTTGTCTGCCGAGGTAGCTCGGTAGATGTGAGGCTGCTATCCTGGAGCGCTGGTTTACTGGCGTTAGGGGTAGGGTATGGTACGGGTTCCACGCTGCATCTTTACCACCGGTGGGCTTGAGGCCCTCTCAGATGAGGGAGCAGCTTTCAGCTCCTCCATGCTTTCTAGCAACTGTTCCTCTTTTTTTTTTCTTTCCTTTCTTTTTTCTTAAAATAACAAAAAAGGAGATATCACAGTAGAAGCACCGTTATTATGGAGTCTTCGCCCAGTGAAACCCTTCCTCCTCCCAGACCCCTTTCTGATCCCACGCCCTGTTCTGACCCGGCTTCGTTATTGGTTCATTCTCTGGACTTCTCATACCCCTGTACCTTCTGCCAGTGACACTTCGTCACCTGTTTCAGGTGCTGCAATGTCACCAGTTTATGTTCATGATACTACATGCACGCCTTTCACAATGCATCCAGCTTCCCGGAATATGATGCGATGGTTTTTGGATTGTCCACCTCCCTTGGGTCAGACCGCCCATGGTACTCCTAAACGTCCAAGAACCTAATGAAGACAGTTCATCGATGATCGCTCAAAAACTACCTACGTGACACTTGCTACCTTTGCATAATGGGTTAATGAGTATGCAATGGACAAAATTCTCTTCTTTACAAACAACATCTCAAACTGATTATCTTTCTGATCTTTCTGATTGTGGAATTGTCAAAACTCTCTTATAGCATGTTGGCCAAAATATATCCTTCTATGTTCTTCGAAGTGGTGTGCGTGTTGTAACAGTACAGAATTCAGAAAAAGCTCGTGCTCTCTCCTGCATCACTTCCATAGATAAAATGCCAGTCACTGTTCGTAAGCACGTTACTCTTAATTCTTGCAGTGGTACTGTGGCCTTACCACGTACCATAGTACAGTGATTTTTTTTTGTCTTGCGGCGATGATATTTTAGAGCAATTAACCCTGCAGAACCTCCTTATTCTTAAGGTAGGTACATCCTGCCCGCTTGTGGGTGGAGGCGCTTTCCTAATAACATTGCTCGTTTAATCTTTGACTGCCATGAACTTCCGTCCTCTGTCTATATTGCAGGCCATTGCTTAGAGGTCTGTCAAGTAGTTCCCACTCCTGAACAATCATAACTGCTGGCATTTTGGGCACCCCGCTAAATGCTGAAGATCTGCGACAGAATGCCCGGTCTGCGGTGCAGCAAATCATTCCAATACATCTTGCAGTCTCCCCTCTTGTCTCAACTGTAAAAAACCTCATCCTTCCTTTTCACGCTGTTGCCAGGTCTATTTTAATGAATGAGAGATCCGTTATCTTAAGGAACGTGAGGGCCTTACACAATGGCTCTCTCTCGGCTCCGCCTTCAAGGAAAATTTCCTAGAGTCCTATATGCTCGGGTAGCCCAAAGACCTCCAACCTCGACAGTCCTCTGGCCTCCCAATCCCTCTGTCAGTGTCTTCCCAGGTCATCCCAGTTTCTAATTCTTTTGCAGTTTTATCCTCTGACACTCCTACCTCCGCACCACTTCCTACTTTTTCATCTCGCTCGCTTGCTTCTCACTCTGAGACCTCGCAGACCTACACTTCCTTTGTGTCCATCACCTGTACAGAATCAATCTATCTACTTCAGAGCCTAGTTCTCACCTCCTTTTCCAGCTCTCGCATGAAGGTGGAAGTTCACCCCCCCCTCCCCCCGTCTTCCTCCAGAGTTACCCTCCAACCTCCCTTCTTTCCTGTTAAACTGCTGGACTCTTCTACCTCAGCCACTGCATCTATCCAGGTTCATACTCCTTCTCCCACCCCCACCCCAGACCTCTTTGGTTGCCTCCATAGTTACTCTTACCTTTAACCCTTTGACTGACACAACCCCAAATCCTGAAGTGTCTCCTGGTGTCACAAAATATTTGAAATAAAAAAAAAAAATCTTGTGAAATGATAGAGAATCTTTTCCCAATGATAATGACACCAAAAGTAAAACTCGTGAAGTTAGCGACCTCGGCGACATTTACGAATTGGCGATTTCGCCCACTTTCAGCCCTATTTTCGGCCAATTCCATTGTTCCAGTCCACCAAACTCATAGCTATTTCTTTAGAACTCCATTTGTTCTATCGATTGAGTACAAGACACTGCCCATTTAATGATTTCAACTACCCAATAAAGTGGTCA